GACCCTTAGGGGCACAAAGGGGTTCCCATTTACCTACTTTAAGGCCTAAGTATATACCATTTAGCTACATGGACCCTTCGGGTTAAGGACTGGAGGATCTTGTGCGCCTCCGTGATGCGGCCGTGTCCTGAGCTTCATAGAAGGGTCCAAGGATGAGAGTGTTGGGGGTATGGCGGGCATGAGAAACTCTAATGTTCATGGGTTTAGGGTTTGGGGTTTGGGGTTTAGGGTTTAGTACCCCCCCCTCTATACTACCCCCCCTAGATTCCTTAACCTTAATTGGGCTTAACTATCCCTAAAAAGCCTTAATTAAGGGGGGAACCTGCTGGGGAGGGTAGTATAGAGGGGGGTACTAGTTGAACCCATGAAATATGAGAAGTGCCCCGTAGCCCGCACGCTGCTTCACGGGCATGACGTAGGGATGACCTGGAGATTCTCCAAGTTGCAGAACTTTTTCGGGTAGTTTGGATTGTGCTCTGTGTGCATTTTGGGGGGCAGAAAGCGCTGCGTGGGGCTGACCAACTGTTTTGTGGCTCATGTCTTGCATAGGATAGGGTTCTACGGCTGGGCCTGCCTGGGGCTGGGACTAGAAGCCAAACTCCAGGCCATACTACGTACCGCGCTCAGCGACGCCCCTTCCAGAAAGGAGTCCCTAGTTATAGGTTGGGTTTAGGGCTTAGGCTTCAGGGCTACTAATTCAGTATAGGTATGCTGCATGCTCAGTAGTGGCATGCGCCATATTTATGGCTGAGGCCACAACCCCCCGACCCCCCCCCCTCAATCCTAAACAGTAAACCCTAGCAACCCCAAATCATAAGCCCAAAAAACTGGTCAACGGCAATTTGGCATCCTAATCCGACCACTTGTCAGGCGTTTCTCTTCAACAAGGAGCAGAACCGCCCTTCTTGTGACAAACCCCTTTGCAACAGACCCTATAGTCATGCTGCTGAGGTAGCAGTATGGCAGAATCTCTGGCAACGTAAGTTCGCAGCAAGGCCTTTTGACAAGAGAGCGGCTGCAACACCCCGAAGCCTTGACTTGCAGTTTAGCAGGAGAGTAATACTCGAAGTCCAGATATTCGAATCTTAAGGTCCAGGCGGACGGCCCTTCCCCCAAAGGACCATTTTTCCCCAAAGCCTTGAATCCCTGAGCACTTCGTTTACACATGTTTCCATCTTCATCCCGTGAGTCCTCCACAGTTAACAATACTGTCTGACAGTATGCCAAACCCCTAGGGGTGTTCGAAGGGCTTTCAAACTGTCAACCTGAGACAGGACCCTCAAGCCTTAGCTTGAGCCCAGAGCTCCAATTCTATGCCTTCTAAACCCGAAACGCTACACCCTAAACCCTACAAAGCCAAATTTCCGGTAACATACCCAGCCAGCTTGACACCCCTAAACCCTGAACTCTAATCCTAGCAGGTACGGCGCCTGCGCGCCCGACTGCTGGCCGGAGCCAGGGGTGGCGCCTACTATGGCGACATGGGCTCAGATGAGCCATAAAGGGGGTTATATAAGGGATTATATAGGGGACTACTATAGGGGTTATTAAGGGGATACGAGATTTAGACTATGGCTCAGATGAAGTCAAGAGGATGTCAAAGCTGTAGGGTTTCAAGCTGATGGAGTTTCGGTGTAGGCTTCAGGCTCAAGGGCTTAGGGGTTAAAGCTTAGGGTTTAGAGGTTAGGACTTGGGGTTTAAAGGGTGCAGGGCTTAGGGTTTAGAACATTGGTCTGGGGAGGAATTGGTTCAATGTCATGTTACATAAGGAGTAAGGAGATCTGGGGTCTCTAACACATTTACGCCCCTGTTTGGGGACTGTCGAAACGGGGACGGGGGTGACGCGGGGAAACATCTAGAAGACCTTGTTTTTGAGAATGCATGCATGTCCAATTATAAAGTGCCAAGATATGAGGTCTGTCAGGATTCCTACATGCAGGATATTCGCAGGGAGTCTGCAGGGTCTGAGAGCAGCCTCTGAAGGAGTGTTATGACTGCCGCTCGTGATACTGAGGCTGCGCCCGGCGTGCTAGAGCAGATGGGAAGGACTGGGCTGCCTGGTTTGGGGGATAGGCCTTAGGCAAGACGGCACGTGCAACAGAACAGACAGCATGCTAACATCATCTGTGGCATGGATGATGTGCCCTTTTGGGCCGTATGCTTCAGTCAGATCTCGTAGTGCCACAGATTCCCCGCATTCCGTGCTTGCTTGGCATCCATGGCTTTCAGAACCTTCGCGGTGTTCCTGAGCTTCGTAGGCGCCTGCGGAGAGGATGTGGCTGAGGCTTTG